GGGTCCAGTCCTCTCCTCTCCATGAAAGCTAGCCCTTGCGTTTAATCTCTCAGTCTTCTTTATGGTCCTTTTTTATTCTGATCTCATGACTTTCTGTTCTTATTTTTCCTTTGCTCTTTGAAGAAGTATTGAGCAGGAAAATTAGGAGGGATGGTAGAGAACATCTATTCCTACCTCTGTGTTTTTCCTAGTAAAGGTTCCTCCAGATCTTGACTTCTATTTTTTTTTCTTCTTTTCCTTTCATCTGGTGACGGAACCCAGGGCCTCATGCACTTGGCTAGGCAAGTGCTCTGTCACTGAGCTACACCATCAGCCCTTGATTTGCATGTTTATGACTCTAGTCAGTACTGACTTCAGATTATGTCTTGTTTATCCTGGTGTTTAACCCTCAGTTATACATGATTCTTAATATTTTAGGCTTTGTGTCTTCCCAACTTTCATGTTGAAGTCCTTCACTCCCAAACTTCAAAATGCAACCTTATTTGGAAGTAAGGTCTTTGCACATGAGTTAAAGTGAGTTCATGTTGGATTAGGATATCACTTTATTCTAGTATGAGTGATGTCCTTATAAGAAGGGGAATTTGGACATAAAGATGTGCACACAGGGAGAACATCATGTGAAAAATGAAGGTAGAGATCCCGATGATTCTTCTACAAGCCCAGGAATGACCTCCAGAAGCTAGGGAAAAAGCATAAAACCAATTCTTCTTCACAGCCCTAAGAGAATCAACTTTGATCTTGAACTTCCAGCTTCCACAACTGTGAGACAATACATTTCTATTGTTTACTGGCAGTGTGCAGCACTTTGTTATGGCAGCCTTAGCAAACTCAGATGATAACCCTCTCAGGTAAAAGCCCTGATTTTTTACTCTTCTTTATTCCTCTTCATGAATCATAATCCTCTCTGGTGGGCTGCAGGACTTTGAAACTGCTCTTCCTTGTTATAGTCTACTTTACTCCAGATCTTAAGGATTGTTTGGAAATCTCTCTCACTCCACTCAGAGCATGCTGGAAACCTTCCCATTTTTTGCTCCAACTCGTTCCCATTCCTTCACCTGCCTTTGGCTCTACTGAAAGCAAATGATGGCCACAGACTCATTTGCTATAGCAAGCTCTGAATAAATAGCCTCTGCTCTCTTTTTTCTGGGCATCAGACGCTGGGGATTGAACCCAGCAATTCAGTTAAGGGGCACTTTACCACTGAATGACATCTCCAGTCCTTTTTATTTTTTTGAGACACAGTCTTGCTAAGTGGCTGAGACTGGCCTCAAACTTTCAATCCTCCTGCCTCAGCCTTCAAAGTAGCTGGGATTACAGGCAAGTGCCACTGAGCCTGGCCTCTGTTCTCATTTGGGTGGTTTTTGTTTATCTTCACAGAATGAATAATCTATGATGAAAAAGATATACTTTTTCTAGTGGGTTTCTAACGTAGTGGAATGGTAGCCTAGAGCTGCCACGGCTACTGTCCTGGGATAGCCTTTCCAATAACAATGGCAGCAAAGAAACAAATGAAGTAGAAGACAGAAGGACGAGTAGTTTAAAATCTCAGCTCCACCTGAGACTGAAATGAGCTCTTCCTCTGGGTTTTCAGTCTCTTTTTTTTTTTTAAGAGAGAGAATTTTAATATTTATAGTTTTCGGCGGATGCAACATCTTTGTTTGTATGTGGTGCTGAGGATCGAACCCAGGCTGCACGCATGCCAGGCAAGCGTGCTACCGCTTGAGCCACATCCCCAGCCCGGTTTTCAGTCTCTTAAGCCAGTGAATCCTTGTCTTGAACATGCTCGTTTATGTGGCTTGCAACTAAAAGAACCCTAACCAATAAACTCTCTCTCTCTCTCTTTTTTTTTTCTTTTTGTTTTAGTACCAGGGATTGAACTCTGGGACACCTAACCACTGAGCTACACTTCCATCCCTATTTTGTATTTTATTTAGAAACAGGGTCTCATGAGTTGCTTAGTGCCTTGCCGTTGCTGAGACTGGCTTTGACCTCTCGATCCTCCTGCTTCAGCCTCCCCAGCCACTGGGATTACAGGCATGCACCACAGTGCCGGGCAATAAACTCTCTTTCTGAATGCTCCACACCTAGGCCCCACACCCTCACTTCCCTTAAAATATGAAGCCAGATCTCCTTTTACTCTCAGGTGGAGATGGAGGATTGGGAAACATTGATGCTTTGGAAACAAGTGAGAAAGTGAACTCTGGCCTACAGAAGTTCAGTGGGCACCTGGTGATGCTCTTGCTGGCCCAGGCACTTGTGCGATTTGCAGCGGTAACCCAAAGTTAGGTCTGAAATTACAGCTTTTTAGTTCATATTTGCATGCTCAGCCACTGTTTTCCAAAGCAGGACATGTCAGAGTGGCTGGACCTGACAAGTTTCCTGCCTTGGCATCATGCCATATTGAAACCAGCCCTCCTCACAGAACTACAAACCCATCTGTTGATCTTGGTTTCCAACCTTATTGCCCATCTCTTGGTAAATTCACCATTGTCAGGGTACTCGATATCACCCAGAAAAACTTTCTGATTTTCCAATCTTGGGAGTTTTGTTTTCTTCCTCCCCAAAGGGCTCTGGGCTTCTAGACCAATTGGTCTATTCCCTCTTCAGGGCTGTCCATACCAGAGAATCTCAAGGAGATGTTCAGGTTTTTCTTTTTCTTTTTGGGGGGTACTGGGGATTGAACTCAGGGGCACTCAACCACTGAGCCACATCCCTAGCCCCCCTTTTTTGTATTTTATTTAGAGATAGGGTCTCCCTGAATTGCTTAGGGCCTTGCTAAATTGCTGAGGCTGGCTTTGAACTCGTGATACTCTTGCCTCAGCCTCCTGTACTGCTGGGATAACAGGCATGCCTGACCTCAAGATGTTCAGTTTTTATTAAGAATGTTGTTAAAGACTGTTCAAATTGTGTATGCACAGGATGGTCAGTCAGCGTAGCCACAGGAGAAAACACAGGAAAGGTTCATAGAAAAGAAAGTTTATACTTACCGATTTTAGAAAGGGGGTTACCACATGCCATTTGGGGGCATGGGAGACAACACCAAGGTGAAGACTGGAATGAAGGAAGAGCCTGGACCATGACCTTTACTGAAATTTCTGAGGGAAAGGCAAGGCAGGGCAGGACAGGGTTGGGTAGCTGGTTTAGGATTGGCCAGTTGGAATAATCTCCATGGGCTCTAAACTACAGGAATGGGCTGGTACTAGGGCCTGGGATGATTGAGGAATAGCACCTACAGGAGGGCTGATGCAGACTGGTTTGTTTGTATATCAAAGGCCCTCTCCTATTCCTATAAATTGGCTAGCCCCAGGAGGAACAGTTTCTTTTTTGGCCAGAAAGACTTTTTGAGATAAATCAAAATATACAGAAAATAAAAAATATAAACAAAGCATCAAGTAACAAAACCTTCCCTTCCTTGCAGGACAAAAGCATGCCTTACAATGTGCATATCAGAAGTATCCACTAAAGTAATTTTGCAGAATACAAAAACTTTGCTCCTACATGTTTTTATTTCTGCTTTACTCAGAGAAGTAGCTTCTGTGGTTTAAAAACAGTAGAAGGAAGAAAAGGCTCTGCTTCTCCATTACTGCACTGTGAGCAGTCTCTGCTCTCCAGGCTGGTCTTTGTTTTCGGTTCCCAGCCTCTGTACCTTTGTAAGTGCTCTCTGATACCTTTTCTCTGCCACTTTTGAATTTCTACTTTTCTTTTAAGGGTCAATTCAAGACCATGCGACTGACAAAATAATTATATAGTAATTTGCTTTCTTATTTTTATAAAAATTAGTCTTCTAACTAGTGTACATTCTTTGAGGCAGGAACCATCTTTCTTTGTATAGTCCTTAGCACTTAGCATTCAGAAACAACTAGTGAGCAAGAGACTTAATGGATAATCAAATAAGTTTTATAAAAAGTGCTTTTAATACTTGAATTTTCATATAAGTTAATGCAACATGAAAGATTAAATCTGAAGTCTATAAAGATTGTTCTTACGTACATCATTAATCTTTTAATTTTAAATATTTCATCATATAAATATTTTGAAAGCTAGATTTTATTTGTTTAACAATTAAAAACAACAATAGTCTTTTATACATTTCTAAAATTACTATTCAGAAATTTTAAATTTAACTTTAACATTTAAAAAATATTTTTAATTCTCTACCCAAAACTTAAAATACAAAAATCATATTACCTTTATTATCCAATATCATAAATTTTCTAATTACTTTTTTACTTTCCCAAGAGAATATGCATGCATCAGAAATACATTTTAAAAGTAATTTCATCTTGTCAAAAGGTCAAATGATTTAAAATATGGCTTAATTTAATGTTGTTGTTTTTTCTGTTGCTATTAAGGTGACTACATAGTTTGATAGTGTAAATTTAAAAAGCTTTTTTTGGTATCTATAAACATTGTCTGCTTAACCATCTTCCTACTGCAGAAGAGCATCAAGCTCTGTAAGTCAGCAGTACTGTGCCCCAGTACTTCCCCACAGTAGTTGCTTCTGATTCTATTTTAAGAACAAAACAAATCAATCCTAGTTCAACTACTTTATGTGGCTTCTTTCTTTTTTAGCTCCTTGACTTCTTTAGAGAGAACTTCCATTTAACTTTCTCCCATTTCTAAGTAGCTGACTGAGTAGTTTTCAATCAAGTCCAAAAAGTTATTTTGTGTTGGGCATAGTGGTGCATACCTGTGATCCCAGCTATTTGGGAGGCTAAGACAGGAGGATCCCAAGTTCAAGGTCAGCTTGGGAAATTTAGTGAGAGCCTCAGCAACTTAGCAAGGCTAATGTCTCAAATTAAAATAAAAAATGGGCTAGGGATGTAGCTCAGTGGTAAAGTACTGAGGGGACATCTGCAGGAGAAGGGGCTTTTTGAGCTCCCAGACCTTCATTTTGCTTAGTGGTTCACTTGGAAAAATGAAAGTTAAGCAATGTGGCATCCTTTCCCCAACTAGTTTCTGTTAAGTAGATAACACACACACATGCACCTAGTATAAACAATTCAGGAATATATGTGTATATTCTTGAAATGACATGCAATGTATAGCTATATATCAGAGACTTTTAAGATAAATATAAAATGTAATTCTTTTGCTGACTTTCCTTTAATAACATATGAAAAAACTAAATTCTTATTTCAAGATCTGAAATGCAAGACTGCTTTTCCATCTCTTCAGCTCCTAATAAGCACTGAGAAGCAATTTGCATCAATTCACCACCTACTCCTTGGCATCCCCAATTCCTCCAGCAGTTATTGCGAAGGTGGCTTCATTTTCAGGCATCTCAGGGCTAACAGAATACAAGGGAACAGAAGTTTATAAAAAGCTTTACTTCTATAAATACTATATTCATGTCACAGGCATCCTGCTCCTATCAGTCTGAGTCTCCTGAGACTTCACAGTCAGTACAGCTAAATGTGGACTACAGAATTTACCTAAAAGTATTATCCACCTTCACAAACATTTGTTAACCAACTTCTATGCGTAAGGTTCTGAATGTCAAGAAAAATTATCCCAAACTTGGAAATAAGCAAAAGGGGTAACTGAGTGTTCTTTCAGTGTAGAGTCAGGCATTGCCTAGATGGGCCTGAGGGGCCTGATTCTATAGGAGTGAGTATGTACCATTTACTGATTAGGCTAATGTAGGGGAAAACTGTAAAAGACTTTGAAATGTTTTTGTTTTGTTTTGTTTGAAGGGTAGAGAATAGGCAGTGTAGTTTTGAGCAATGGATAAGGTTATTTCCCTGAGGAAATAGCAGAAGTGTCTCCTCTGAAGATAGCTACAGATAAGGTAGGTCTTGCTGGACTAAAACTGAAGTTGAGTAAGAAGACCTAAGTGGTCTTACAAAATAAAAAAATTTTTTCCAGTGCTGGGGATGAACCCACAGGGACTGATGCATACTAAGAAAGTGCTCTACCACTGAGCTATATCCCCAGCCCTTTAAATTTTATTTTGAGACTGGGACTCACTAAGTTGCTGCAATGAGTTTTGAACTTTTTGTTCTTTTCTTTTTTTTTGTAGTACTGGGTATTCAACCCAGGGGCACTCTACCAATGAGCTACATCCCCAGACCATTTTTTATTTTAGTTTGAGGCCTTGCTAAGTTGCTGAGGATCTCACTAAATTTCTCAAGCTGACCTTGATCTTGGGATCCTCCTGTCTTAGCCCTCTCAAATAGCTGGGATCACAGGTATGCACCACTGTGCCCAACACAAAATAACTTTTTGGACTTGATTGAAAACCACTCAATCAGCTACTTAGAAATGGCAGAAAGTTAAATGGAAGTTCTCTCTAAAGACAAGGAGCTAAAAAAGAAAGAAGCCACACAAAATAGTTGAACTAGGATTGATTTTTTTTGTTCTTAAAATAGAATCAGAATCAAATACTTCAGAAACTTGACCATCTGTATACCTTTTTATTTTATTGTAGTATTTTTTTAAAAAAAAAACTTTGTTCTTACTTTGAATTCAATAGATTTATTTGTTTTTAAAGTTTATTATCTCAAGTATGCTAGGGATTAAAATAAGTGGAACTTTTGCAGGGTGTAGTGGATTATGCCTGTTATCCTAGTGACTGGAGAGACTGAGGCAGGAGGGTTACAAGTTTAAACCAGTCTCAGAACTTAGTGAGACCCTATTTAAAAATATAACATAAAAAAGGTCTGACAGTATAGCTCAGTGTTACCCCTGAAAATCTCCAGTATCACCCCCCCCCCCAAAAAAAAAAAAAAAAAAAAAAAAAAAGTGGGGTTTTTATTTGCTCATTTAAAGGTCTGAAAAAGGGCTGGGGTTGTGGCTCAGCGGTAGAGCACTCTCCTAGCACGTGTAAGGCCCTGGGTTCAATCCTCAGCACCACATAAAAATAAATAAATAAAATAAAGGTATTGTGCCCAACTACAACTAAAAGATAAATGTTAAAAAAAGTTTGAAAGAAAAAAATATATAATTGAGGGGCAGGAGAGCTAAAGCAGAAACTATAGTGATATTCAAGGGAAAGGAGGATTGGGTTAATTCTTTTTCCTTTCTCTTTCTTTCTTTCTTTTAATGTGGTGCTGGGGATTGAACTCATGATCTGGGGCATGCTAGGTAAGTGCTTTTCCCACTGAGCCAAACTCATAGCCCAGATTGGGTTAACTCCTGCACATCTGGAAATTCTTCTGAGAACCCTTTTCTGCCCAATCTTGGAGATTCTTTTTCTCGTTAAGTAAGAAATGCTGGAGAGACTGAGGCAGGAGGGTTACCAGTCTCAGAACTTAGTGAGACCCTATTTAAAAATATAACATAAAAAGGTCTGAGAGTATAGCTCAGTGTTACCCCTGAAAATCTCCAGTATCACCCCCCCCCCAAAAAAAAAAGAAAAGAATTTTTATTTTATATCTATTTAAAAGTAGTAGTTGAAGCCATAAGAGTAACTATAGTAGATTAACTATAACTAGTCTAAATAGCTACTTCTATTATACTATTTCTCAGCTAAGAAATAGTGTAATGACTTAAAATGCATAGATATTCAGACAGCATAGATTCTAATCCTGGTTCTATCTTTAATTTGTTGTGTGATATGGCATAAATACATTAATTTTTTTCAGTAAGAAAATATTTATCAAGTACCTATTATATCCCTGTGGTAGGCACTTGAGATCTGTAAGTGAAGAAAAGAATAGAGAAAGATCTCTGCCTTTATGGAACTTATATTTGGGGAGGGTTGAGACAGATAACAAATAATGGCACAGGTGTGTTATGTTAGAAAATAAGTGCTATAGGGAAAGAAAAATAGAGTTGAGTGAGGGAGATTAGAAATGTGGGAATTAGGGCTGGGGATGTGGTTCAAGCAGTAGCATGCTTGCCTGGCATGCGCTAGGAGATGGGTTCAATCCTCAGCACCACATAAAAATAATTGTGTCCACTGAAAACTAACAAATAAATATTAAAAAAATTCTCTTTCTTTAAAAAAATGTGGGAATTAGTTTTTTTTTATATTTACTTTTCAGGTGTAGATGGACACAACACAATGCCTTTATTATTATTATTTTTTAATGTGGTGCTGAGGATTGAACCCGGGTCCCGCCCGTGCTAGGCGAGCGCTCTACCGCTGAGCCACAATCCCAGCCCCTCAGTTGCAGTTTTGATCAGTAGGTTAAGACAGGCCTTGTTGAAAAGGCAACATTTGATCAAACCCTTGAAGTAGATGAAGGAGATAAGCAGAGAGGGGACTATGAGGGTGGCATTATCCAGGCAGAAGGCACAAGTACAAAGATTCTAAGGTACAACAGTTCCTGGCATGCTTATTGAACTATAGAGTGCCTGTCCACTGAGGATGAAGTGCAGTGAGCTAGTGGGAGATGGAGAGGAACAGGGCCATCCACAGATTGCTATGCAGACTCCCTAGAGACATGGGCTTTTGTTTTGAGTGGAGATAAGAAGTTACTGATGGGGTTTTAAACACAGGACAGATATGATCCAACAGTTTTACAAAGGTTCACTCTGGCTTCTGTGTTTAAAATAGACTGGAAAGGAGCACTGTTTAACTTCTTGTGGCCTTGGTTACCTCATGTATAAAATGGGGATAATAACTACTACCTCTTAGGGTGGTTGTTATAATTGATGAAATAAAATATAAAAATCACCTGGAGCAAGGCCTAGCACATAGTAGCCACTAAATGTTAGATATCAATATTAGTGTTATCATCTTCTCTATTCAAAGAATTCAAGGAGAATTCATCATAAGAAATTGATAGGGGCCAACAAGAAATGAATACATGATACATAGCTGAGTTTTGATATTTTAAGCTCTGATCTGGTTTTGCTGATTTGAATCAAGTTTATGGGGACTTGACATAACTAATCTCTATGATAATTTACTATAACTATTTTTTATTGAATTTGTAGAGCCCAAACAGCTTCCTAGAACTGTAAGAATGGCAAAAGCTGTTCATACAAATGACTGAACATTTAGCTTAAGTTTATTCATTAGTAAATTCAACAAATAGCTACTGAGTGTCTACAACGTACCAAGTCCCAGGCTAGGTTCTTGGACATTAGTGAATCAGACTCAGTCCCTGTTGTGAGGGAGATGTACAGTGAACAGTGAGTTACAATTCAGGGTGAAAAGTGTTTGGGAAAGTTCTAGGCATAGTATTCTGTCCATGAAATAGACCAAGAAATTTCAGTAACAAGTGGAACTGTCTATTGAATTCAACAAAGAACATTTGCCATATTTAAATATATATATTTTTTGTGCTAAGGCTTAAACCAAGGGCCTTGTGCTTGCTAAACACAAATGCTACCACTGAGCTACACCGATATTTGCAGTGATTTATTTTTATTTATTTATTTATTTATTTAATTTTTTTTTTTTGGTGTTGGGGATTTAACCCAGAGGTGCTTTACCACTGAGCTATATCCCCAGCCCTTTATATTTCTTGTTTCAAGACAGGCTCTTACTCAGTTGCTGAGGGCCTTGCTAAGCTGCTGAGGCTGACTTCAAACTTGAGATCTTCCTGTCTCAGGCTCCCAAGACACTGGGATTACAAGTGTATACCATCATGTCCTGTGTTTACAGTAAATTTTTAGAGATGCTGGAAGCTCCCTAGAACATAGCTGTATGTATTTTGGTCTTTTATAGGGACAGGTGATGAAAAGCAAGTGCTCTACCACTGAGCACATCAACCAGCCTATAATTCTTAATTAAAGTACAGTGGAAAATAAAGGATATCATATTTAGGATATCCTGTATCACGAGGATTAGGGAAAGGATCTCTGAGAAAGTGATATTTACTGAAACCTGAAAGCAAATGCCATTAATGTACAAAGAGAAAGGAGAGAATATTTTCCCATACTCTACTTCGCTGGCACCGTGCACCCTTTAATTGGAATTGATGTGATTTCATTCTCTACTTCACTTTGAGAGGTCAGAGACCAAATATATGTGTCAACAGAATCCCTGGATCCCTAGGACCTAACACACAGTATAACTTCCCAATCATTGCATAATTTTTTGAAAGGAAACTCAAATATGTAGCATCTGCCAGCAGAATAATTATAGCCTCTCAGGAGCAACAATTCTGTTTAAAACTATATGCACAAAAATCTGATGAAGAATAAGAAAATATTTACCTGTCATAAATCTTGGCAATTCTCAGTTCTCCTCTTCCTTTGCGCAAGCTTATTCTTGTTGTTGAAGCATGAGCCAGAATGTGTCCCCCAATGGGTTTTTTTGGGTCTGCCTGAAAGCTGAATTAATAAAACCTCTATTCAGTCTTCATGACATGAACTATACACATGAGTATTTGCAATTACAAGGCCACCTGTCTGTGTAGTGTGGTAGGAGATGGAGTAGATGTGTATTCTAAACAAGTAGAGGTCTGTTCATAAACAGTGCTGTGGGGCGGGGGTGGAGCTACTATCTACCCTATTACCATCTAGCTCAGATTCCTGAGATTCTTATGATAAATAGCTCATGTTTTGTTTGATTTTTTAAGAAGAAAATACTATTGAAAAAGCACAAATAAAACATTATTCACTGTCAGGATAAACTTGAGATTAAGAAATTTTATTCTTTACAAAATACAAAGACTGTATTTATTTATTCCTTTATTTATCAAAAATATTTCTTAATGGCCCATTAAGTGTCAGGCACTATTCTAGTGTAATGGACAAGAACTACCCAAGCTGTCTCTGTTAAGCTGTGTACGTGAAAGCAGATTGAGAACCTCTTTTGTTCAATAACTGTGTGATGGAACCCTTCAGTGCTGTGCTGGTCATGCATTTGAGAATGATGTTTGGAGTATCTTTTGTCTTTATTATTGTTGCCTAAAGTTTATTTCTCTAAATAAGGATATTTAAGAAATAAGCTCTATGATTCAAGAATTCAAAAAACATAATGAAGGAAGTTATAAATACCATTGAACTCATCTTGAGAAACATAATCATAAGGGACTATTACATGGCAAGAAATGAGTTTCTTAATGACCCTAATGGTAAATCTTTTTAAAAAGCCTAGTTGCAAAAATCCTCAACAAAGTACTAGCAAATTGGATCCAGCAGTATATCAAAAGGAGTATACACCATGATAATGCAGAATATATCCCAGGAATGCAAGGATGGTTCAACACAAGTAATTACTAATTCATCATATTACTAAAATGTGGAGGGGGCAGAAACTAATATGTTCAGCTCAACTGCTGCAGAAGAAAACCTAGAAATCATTAATAAAGAGAACTGAGTGTAAACTAACTAGCTATACTTGACCAAAATAAACTATGATTAATATAATATAATAGCTTTAGCTCTCAGAAAATGTAGTTTTAAGTTAACTCAAATTGTGCTTGCTCCATGATGTTCAAGATTCTTGTTACTCTAAGCTTGAGGCTTGGTGTAGTGAGAATGTGGATGATTGGCATGAGGTTAAATATGTAGGTTATAGGTTGGTGGAAGAAGAAGTTCTTGGGTAAAGGAGTCTGCTGACATAAACTGCTGTTTGATTAAATGGCTCAGAGGTTAAGACCTGAAAATTCCTGGCTGGGATGGATGAAATTGGTTAAGATTCATCAAATATAAAATATGAACAAGAACAGTTAATTTTAAGTGAAACACTATCAAGAAAGTAAATTCAGGGACTGGGGTTGTGTTTCAATGGTAGAGCACTTACATAGCACTGTGGGGCACTGGGTTTGATCCTCAGAACTGCATATAAACAAACAAACAAACAAATAAGGGTACTGTGTTCATCTACAACTAAAAATATTTTTAAAAAATAAAGAAAAGAAGGGGCTAAGGTTGTGGCCCATTGATAGAGCGCTTGCCTTGCACATGTGAGGCACTGGGTTTGATCCTCAGCACCACATAAAATAAATAAATAACTAAAACAAAGGTACTGTGTCCATGTTCAACTAAAAAAATTAAAAAAAATAAAGAAAGAAAGAAAAGAAAGCAAAGCCAGGCAGTGAGGAATCAGAAGTCTGGGCTGCTTTTCCAGCAGCTGCAGGTTCATGAAAGCAATCAAGTATCACAGGAAGATGAAAGAAATGAGGAAGTGAGTTGTCTCCATAATGCTTACAGATCGATGTCACTTTTTTTAGTGGAGTGGCTCTCAACTTTCTGGGTCACTCCTTCCTGTGGGTGGTTCTTCATGGTCTTAAAAGAACCCTGCAAGAGCTGGGGTTGTAGCTCAGTGATGGAGCGCTTGCCTCCTACATGTGAGGCACTGGGTTCCATTCTCAGTACCACATAAAATAAATAAATAAAATAAAGATATTATGTCCACCTACAAGTAAAAAAAAAAAAAAATCAATCCCAGCAGCTCGGGAGGCTGAGTCAGGAGAATCGCAAGTTCAAAGCCAGCCTCAGCAATGGCAAGGCGCTCAGCAACTCAGTGAGACCCTGTCTCTCAATAAAATACAAAATGGGCTGGGGTTGTGACTTAGTGTTGAGTGTCCCTGAGTTCACTCTCTGGTACCAAAAAAAAAAAAAAGAGAGAGAGAGAGAGAGAAAGAAATAGAGCCTGTGTTCTATAAAGATGGGCTGTTTTAGGCCCTGATGGTATTCTCAGCTGGGCTCTGGACACTGAACCTGCAAACAATATAATGATTTATGCTTCTGTAATGCACTGTTCATATTCTGTTTTTAGTACTGTTATTCACTTACTTCTTATATTCCTTCTTGCTCCCTCTCTTACTGTCTATCACTAAGTTTCTTAAGAGCAAACCACATTGCATTTAGTGTGTTAGCAACCAGCTACAAGGTTGGTGCTCACAAATGTTTTCTGAGCCTAAGATATCAAATCTACAGAAATTCTAAGAATATTTGACTTCAGAAAAAAATTAGTGCTTTCACAGTAAATAGATAAAAATAAAATTGAGACCAGTTGGAAAGTTCCATTTGAGGAGATAAGAGAAAATAGTCCGGGTTAGGGTTAGCTAAATGGGCAAATGGGCAGAAAGAGGTCTTTATTTAATTAATTAATTTGTTTGTTTGTTTTGGGGTACTGGGGATTGAACTCAGGAGTACTTTACCATTGAACTACAACCCCAGCCCTTTTTATTTTTTATTTTGAGACAGAGTCTTGCTAAGTTGCTGAGGCTGGCCTCAAAATAAATGGCTTTCCTCCTGCCTCAGCTTCCTAAGTTGCTGGGATATTACAGAAGTCTCAACAGCTATGTTATTGCTTCTCACAGTCTGTCTCAATTCTACTCAGTGATTCTCCTCCATGGTTAGCTTCACTTCTCTTTCCACAGTTATCTCCTTAAGCCCCCTTTTCATTCTTATCCCTTCACCTAGGATGACACTGCCTGCTACTTCATAAAGAAAACAAAGGCCCTCAGAGGGAAGCTCCCTCAACTTCCTCTTCTTTCTACTCACTGTGAGAAATAGAAAGTGGTGGTCCAATTTCAGAATACAGTTTTTAGCCTTAAATATAAAATTACTGAGGATATAAGAAAATCAGTGTAAGAAGAAATAGAACAAATGGTTACCAGCAGTTAGCATCTGATTGTGACAGATTCACAGCCCCTTGACTACAGGAGGGGAGGGGAAAGGGCCTTCCTGACCAACAAAGATAAACGTCATACATGCCAAAATGCACTCAATCCCAGAAAGGCCTTCCCACCACAAGAGAACAAAATAGGTTGGAATAACTAAAGATATATTTCTTTAAATAACCTAGGCAAGGTTTGGGAAGATTGTGCATCCCATAGTACTCAGCCAATGAGGACCTGGTAGGGGTATTGTGCTTTAGGGGATAAAATACTGATTGTAACAACTCTGGGTGTAACAATCTTCCAAGACTATCATTAAATTAAAGCCTCACTTTCTCCTTTCCTTTGTCCCTCAGTCCATTCTTTGAGTTTGGACATGTGAATGTGTTTCTCACACCTATCACTGCTATAAGTTGAATCTTAAATGTCTCCCAGAGACCCATATGTTAATAAGGGATTGATCACCAAAGTGGCATCATTGGGAGGTTGTAAAGCCTTTAAGAGGTGGGGCATAATCAGAGGATTTGGGTTCCTGGGGGCATGCCTTTGAAAGCAAACATAAGATTCTGGTTTCTTCCTTTTTCTCATTTTCTTTCTAGCGGTAAGACGTGGTTTTGCTTTGCCGTAAACTCCCTGCCATTGACATCTGACATACCCACCAGAGGCCTAAAAGCAATGGGTCTGCCTGATCATGGACTAGAACCTCTAAAACTAAAATAAAATTTTTCTATTTATAAGTTGATTGTCTTAGGTATTTGTTATAGTAATGGAAAGCTAATATTCGGCCTATGTACTCATTTACATTTGCACTCATTTTTCCCTCCTTACCTCTCAAATTTCTTTTTTAAAAATTTTCTTATTTAAGCAAGTCTTCTTATACCTCAGTGCCTTTGCACACACTGTTCTCTCTAAAATGAAAACCTTATTCTACTGGGTTTGCTCATGCAGCTCCTACTCATCCTTCAAGGGCCATTCCTTCTAGGGACCCTTGCCTGATCTTCTGTCCCCTGTGTGGTCTTCTGGCACAGTGTGTATTTCTCTTTTAAAGCGTACTCCATTATTATACTCTCAATCCTTGTTCATCTTCATAACTCCAGTGTCTAAAAAAGTGCCTATAATGTAGAATGTCCTCCATTAACATTGTGGAATAAATTCAGAGAAGATAATTTGGCTCTCCCTGATCTAGGTCTTTCTGGACACATTTGTGACATCTCTTCAAAGAAGCTTTAAATCATGGAACTTTTGAAAAGTACTCTGACAGAAAGGTAAATATAAAAGGAGATTGATCCCCCACCACCATTAAGGTAATTCTCCAACCCCTGGCCATGACAAATAACTTAAAGAAGAGCATGAAGCTGGAGCTTGTAGATGTTCTGTGTTTTTTTCTATGTGAACTACTGTCAGCTGTTACTAGTGTGATGCCCTATGCACAGAAGAGAATAGGTGCTGCTGCTTGTCACCGATTATTACAGGTGAAAGCCTGAACATTAAGAAGGTTATCTCTAAGGGAGATGGACTGTATGGGGAAATAAATTATAGAATTTGCAAAAGGGCTAAGGAAAGCTATAGAAAAGATATTATAGGGATAAAAAGTTATCAAAAATGATAAACTGAGATGTTAATCAAAATAGACTGTGATACAGCATAAAAACCTTAGACTTGCGAGAATTTCAAGTCAATTCAATTTTGTTTGCTCTATCATGGTAGGGTATTTAGGATTCTGTGTAGAATTTATGGCTTTTAATGTTTATTACAGGT